GCACACACTTTGGGCTGAAATCCAGCTACAAACATGCAATTAATCTTCTACGGGCACTCCGTTGAGTTCAGCAGGCACAGTGCGGAATATGTCTGACCAGACAGCAGCTGTTTCAGGCTGCCATTTTGATCTCCGTGCCTCGTGTTTGCAGCCTCTGAACACTCTGTTTCAGATATATTCAAGGCTGCAAGGATTGCCACAGCACATTGCTGCTGATCGCTGCCCAATAACACAACACGCAGAGGCCAAAAATGTGGTGTGTGGAGGCTGAAGGGTGGGGGCCGGTGGGTGGGTAGGGCTACATTTGGTGTATAAGACGCACCCAAATTTTCACCCTCTTTTTGCGGGGAAAAAGTATGTCTTATACTCCGAAAAATACAGTAACTAAATAATGGATAACTGATAGTCTTCCTATTGTTGTTGAATTACAATTTTGAGCAACACCAGGCAGTCAAGAATCCATAGTATAGCGTGTTGGGACTCATTAATATAAGGGATGCCACAGTTTTCCCATGCCTGGTATCATTTTTAACATCACTTCTAAGTAACCACAATGTGCTGTTGTATCCCAACTGGTAAACTGTGCTTCAAGTAAAACCATTCTAAATTAAGATTGTAGGTTCTGACTTGGACAGTTCAAACAATAGTTTACTAATTCCTCCAAATGGAATGAATTATATTATATTCCTCCAAATGGAATGAATTCCTCCAAATGGAATGAATTATATGAATTATATATTATATGTTGGAGATCTTATATTTATGCCATCTGATTGCAGTTATGAGCTAATTGAAATGTGGACAAAGGTTCTGTTTACTTTAATTGTAGGATAAAGCTAAATTTAAGAAATAACACAATGAGAATAGTCTTTAGAGTAGAAATTGTTTAATATACAATTATAAAACATTATGTATTTGCTGTAATGAATTCATTAATCATTAATTCATCCTGAAATTTGAAAGTTAATATTTGGTATTGACTGAAAATAATATGGGAATAAAATTACATTTAAATTTCTGGAGCAATTACCAATATATTTTATATAAGTACTTTTTACTGAAAGTGAAATGAATAAACTTTTATGGAATTTAGTTTTCAAATAAGCACTATCTTAATTTATAGTTACATTGTTTATCTATAATTTGTATATAAAGATTACGTTTTTAAAAATAATACAGAAGTTTAACTATGGAAAGATGGAAGGAGCATTAAACTTCTTCTGTGGTTAGAAATCAGGCGGTATTGTCTTACCAAAGTGTGGACTCCCTGGTTTTCTCTGAGTTTGGTTATTTGCTTGACATATTTTCTTATCCAACTATGTTAGTGCTGATGAGTGTGGAGTTTGCTCCATGTTTATATACAGTAACTTTCTCTGCCAGTGTTGGTGGAGGTGTGGTTTTTCTCCTTGGTAATTGTTTTCTGCTTTAGTTTATCTGTGTTAATTCCTGCTTTTCTTTTTTTTTTTTTTTTTTTTTTTTTTTTTTTT